AACGCATAACAAAGCCAACACTGATATATTATACATTGAAAAGTTCTCTTTAGTTGCTCCTATCTCATAGTTATTGTTGTTGTGTTTTACATTGAAACAACTCAGAAGTGTAATCAAACGGGTCACATGACGATCAAGAGTTAACTTTCAAATCAAGAGTAACGCACTTAAGTGAAAAGTCACGCACGTTTGAATCTTACGGATGCTTACTATTCACTTTTCTCTCCGATCCTACTCATGAAACAATTGTTACCAGAGAATTCCAGTGCACTTGTTTAATTTGCCAAAATAGGGTGATGGTTTGATCTGAGCCTGAAATCTAAGCATAAAAAAAGTTCTCTCTCTTTGCTCCTATCTCATAGTTATTGTTGTTGTGTTTTACTCCAATGTGGTTTAAGATTTTTTTCGCGAAACTGGCCCTTTAACAACTTACCTTACCTCGTTGCAGTCTGATGCTATCATTTCTGTTGCCAAGGGAACTTTAGACATTGACTACATCGTTGGATTAATTCAGAAGATAAGCTGATAAGCACGCAAGCAAGTTAAAATAAAGCTTTCTCTTGGAATATATTTTTAACCGTGCTTTACTTCTGACGTGTTAGTATCACCCACCTTATTTTGTAATTTGCAAGCAAATACACTGTATATCTCGTTTGTAACGAGAAAGCCACTGATTTCAGAATTGGAAATCACTAGTATGGTATACGTAATTCTGCACCTGCTTAATTTAAGGAAGTTGCACTGTGAATATTTCTGTTTCTCATTGCCCCATGACTCGAATCGTAACTAAGGTAGCCTTTGGATTTTCAGTTTTGCGGTTTTGGCTATATTTTGGATCAGTTTTTCGGGTTTTTTTTTTTTCTTTCTTTCTTTTTTTGCGGTTTTGCAGCATTCTTCCCCAATATCTAGAAGTCGCCATACAACAATAATATCATCAGTCTTCGCACGATCTGGTAGTGACCATGTCACTAAACCCACTAGAACTAGAAGGACTTCAAAGTCTCTGATTGACCATCTGATTTCAAATTCGCCTTCCAAAGTATCATACACAGACGTTCTGCCATGCCCCACTATCAGTGATCACGATGCGCCTTATACTTGCATCAATATGCGTATTACAAGATTTCTCCCACGCTACAAGTTTATTCGAAACGAAAAGAATCTTAACTTGCAATCGTATGAAGAGGACTTTTCAGCCCTGCCTCTAAATATTTTTTATGGCGTGGGATGTCCAGATGATATGGTTACAACGCTTAACTCTCTTGTTACAGAATGCATTGAAAGACGTGCTCCTCTAAGAAGAGTGAAAGTTACACGTCCACCCGCTCCTTGGATAGCTGATCCCGAAATCCGTGAGCTGCAGACCCAACGCAATAAGCCACGCAAAAGAGCACATGAATCAAATGACAACAATATATGGGAGGCATTTAGTACTACTCGGAACACTCTGAAAACTAAGATAAGGCAGGCTAAGAAGTCGTTCTTTGATAATGCGTTTTCTTCAAAACGACCAAAAAAAATCTGGGGTACAATTCACAGAGTGCTGAATCCCAGTTCTACGCCACTCATGGCCGATCCTGATGAGCTCAAATCATTCTTCGCCACTACAGCAGAGAGAACCTTAGGGAAATCTTCAGGGGACTCTGTCGATGACATATTGTATCCGGTAAATTCACTGGGGGATGTTAGCGACTCCGTCCCTTTCAAGCTACGCGCGGTAACCCATGTACAGGTCTTACGTGAAATCAAATTACTAAGAACGGACAGTTCAACAGGTCCAGATAATATCCCAGTGAAGTTTTTGAAACCAGTTGCGGAGCTCTTAGCTGGTCCCCTCACACATATAATTAACTGCTGTATCAGAAATATTTATTTCCCTATTGACTGGAAGGTGGCGCGAATCTCACCAATACCAAAGATAGATCAACCAATGGCTAAACATGACTATCGACCTGCATCCATCCTCCCAGCCCTGTCCAAAATCTTTGAAAGGCTGGTAGGCCATCAGACAATTAGATTCATTGAAGAAAGAACACTTTTTGGTGAAAACATCTCAGGATTTAGAAAAAATCACTCAACAGCCACGACATTACTGGGGATTAGAGACGATATTACACGTGCAATGCGTCGCGGCGAAGTAACTGTCATGATTCTTGCAGACTACTCGAAAGCTTTTGACACTGTGAACTTCAAGTCAGTTATTTATAAAATGCACTCAATGGGTTTTTCAAAGGATTTTCTAACATGGATGACCTCCTATCTTACGGGCAGAAAACAGTATGTAATGATAGATGACAAGTGTTCTCAGCGGTTGGAAACGTGCTTCGGCGTCCCTCAAGGATCGATCTTAGGACCTTTAATTTTCAATATCTATGTAGTAGACCTCCAGAAAAAGTTGAGTTGCAAATGTTTTCAATATGCGGATGATACCACTTAGCTTCTACACTCGAAGCCGCGTGAAATAGAGGCGTGCATAAAGGATGCTAATCAGACAATAAGAAGCCTGAGTCGTCCAATTTGGCGTTGAATTCAGAGAAAACGAAATGGATGCTTCTCTCCACAAGATAATTGGCGCGCGCACACTCTCTAAATGATATTTCTGCAGATGTATACTGCGGCGACACTAAACTTGAGAAAGTCTCAAGAACAGAGCTTTTGGGAGTTTATCTGGATCAGGAACTAACATGGCAAGAACACATAACGAATCTGTTGTCATCGTGTTACGGTGCTTTAGCAGTACTACGGAAACTAAAATACTTCGCACCATACCACATAAGAAAACGACTGGTGGAAAGTCTTATACTCTCTAAACTGGATTATTGTAACGTTGTGTTTAGTCCTCTCCCAGAGTACCAGACCAAACGCCTTCAAAGAGGACAGAACACGTGTGCGGGTTTTGTGTTAACTAAATTTGCTGGACTCCACGATGTTAGAAAGCTAGGTTGGCTCACAATCAAAGAGCGTTTGGAATTTAATATAGCTAAGCTAGCGCACAAGTCATTATACAATGAGCACTTTCCACTAAAACTCAAGCAACACGTCGTAAATAGATATAGTCTTAGGTCATTAGCTGCACCAAAATTAGAACTTGCCAACAAAATTGAGAAGAACGCTCTACAAGATCAAGCTGCAGAAGCTTTTAATAAGCTTCCTGCGGCGCTAAGAAATTGCAGTGACCATGCACTTTTTTGTATAAATCTTAAGAGACACATGCTGACACGTAATGGATAATCTAGTATAGTTTTTATTATTCACTATTTTATCAATCTTGATTTATTGTAAGTATTATGTATGTAGTTAATTTTTATATTAGTAGCGAAGAGCCACTATGTGGAAGCATGCTGATACAGGTCAATATTAGTGCATGTGAAACTCCAACCAACCTCTTAGGAAATCTAAGTATTTTACTCCTGCCGTATTGCAGTCTGGAATATCAATTTTCTTGTTGTGAGCGTGGAACAAAGAATATGCTCTGAGTTTCCACGAGTAACCGAACCTCAATAGTTCCACCTTTGAATTCCGCGCTACGATGTTCTTCCACAGAGCCACGAAGACTCCATACGTTGGGCCGGTATATTCGTAGCAAACTAGGAGTTCGAACTTACAACCTTCTCGCTCCGACCAGGTGGGTTTTCGTTATACCTCGCTCCTGAGTTTTTGACCAGCCAACCTCGAAACCACGAACGAAAAGAGCGGCTGAACTTTGGAAGTCTCCAGGCATACAAGAACGGATTAATAATGGAGCTCATGGAGAGAAATTCGTTCGCGACATAATAATAAACATGATAGGCGTACGAGTTTCGACAGGGGCAAAAGTATAAAATCTGTACATGTATGAAGTAAGGTACAAAAGACATATAAAATACAAAAAGGATTAACACAAATGCAATAAACATTCTGTTCTCTCTTTCTAGCTGTTTCTTCTTGCTGGCCGCTGTGAGACTCTCGCGAACATCTTTGAGTTCCTCTCTTTGACGGGCAACCGCCTTGTAAATTTTCATATAAAGTGCTATTAGAATAAATGATGGAATCACGAAATGAGAATAGCAATAGGCCAGCAAAAACTTTTCTCTTTTGACATCAGCAATGGGAAGAACAGACATAATTAATCCATTTATCCAAGTTACTGCAGTAGCAATCTTGGCTTTTTTGTTGGTTATTTTCCGTGGATATTGAAAAGGTTTGATCACTGCAACATAACGTTCATACGACATCGCCATCAGAGTGCAAACAGCGGCGAGAATAGAAACAGCTCCGATAAAATATTGCACCAGATTTAGAACGAGAAGGTCTCCCAAACCACGGTAGAAGTAAGTTAACTCGGCGCCTCGTAGAATGCTCACAATTCCGATGAAAAGATCAGCGACTGAGAGATTGGCGATGAGGAACACAGACGGAGTGCGCAAACATCGACAGGGATCGCGATAAATTGTGATGAAGAGGAAGCCATTCACAAGAACGATCACCGTCCCGAAAATGAAGTCAAAAATAGCGAAAATGACAACATTAGCACCGACCACCTCAGTGCTGGGTACATATGTAGGTTCTGACGAATTCATGCTCGCTGTTTAAAACCATGTCGTGAAATCATATTGGATTTATAATCTCTTGTTCAACAATGCAAGCTTAAATCTCACTACAGTCTGTACGCGTCACAATGCTTAGAATGCTGATGCTTGAGGTATCCGTTTTAAGACCTTACGCAAACGTCCGGTTTTTGACACAGACCCAATATATCCGCGACCGATGCACGTACAATTCTGCAATGACTTTTTGATCTTTTTTTTTATTTTCAAGAGATTAATTCATTAAAACATGAATACACTTCGACAATTGATCAGCTTTCCTTCACTAAACACGTTCCATTCTGTTGCGAGTGGCTAATTAATTATTTTCATACCCAAAAAAGTTATTACTAGGCTGCCAATGTTTGACAACTGCCGTAGTCTACCTGCCTGGGTGCGAGACGTGTTCAGATCGGATTTTCTCGTCAAAAGATTATGTGCATACTAAACACTTGCTTTGAGATTACTTGAAAAGTACTTCTGTATTTGGCCCAGTGCCGGATTTTTATTTGCTTCTTTGGAGTTGCTGCAACAACAAAACAAAGACTGACTGAAGAGTTCAATTTCTGAGAGTGACAGGAACAAAGCAGGATAAAAGAACACTTTCAAAAATTAAATCTCTCTCTCTCTCTCTCTCTCTCTCTCTCTCTCTCTCTCTCTCTCTCTCTCTTTCTCTCTCTGATTAAAAAAAATTCTTTTCTTTTTAAAGCTTTTGTATTTGCCGGAAATCGGGAGTGTTTGGAAATGACCTTTTACACACCATACCCGGATATAAGCAAAATGATTTCAGTGTCCTCATCTTATCTCTGCCATTAATTTTCCTTGTACGTAAAAAATATTTTCAAACTTTGACCATCAAATGATGCAAATGCTATTAGACTGATATATAACTGCGTTCTTGAGCAAGGGAAATCACTGACCGTGATCTGGTTGGATACAACTTTTTTAAGGACTCGGTCGGTACACATTGCCGTTGGTCGTCTGATAAAGGAGCTGGATCTTTTCTATGACGAATTCTTATGGTGTGATTGTCATACTGACGCAACAGGAATTAGTTTTTTTTTTTTTTTTAAAGAATTTACGGAAAACTTGTTCACGCGTGTGTTTTCTTTCTTCATTTGTTTCTTCCTGTCTCAACCAGTAGCGTATTTACGAATCTTTTCGTTTCTTCCATTTTCAAAACTGAAACCACGTTATTAAATTGTTTTAAAACTTTTTGCAACCCTTGCAGAAGGTTAGTCTGGTTTGGTAAACTCGTTAGACAACATTACATTCCCTGGTTGTACATTGTAACATTCTTGCATTTAGTTTCTATATATTTTTTCCCTTTCCGCCCACCAGCTAAGGACTCGGTAAGTAACTCACGATTCAAGAGCAATATTCACTGAGCAATATTCAAGAGCAATATTCACTACAAAGCAATATTCACTGAAAGCGATACTATGATGGTACAATTTGAAGACTAATCACCGCTAACTTTTTCACATGCCAGTCTGTAAGTCTTCGTTTTTCTTTCACTGGCCTAGATTCTTGTACGATATTAATATATACATTTACAGAAATCCGTATAAATAATATTTTATTTTCATATTGTATAAATACACATTTTGAAAAATGCTCTTAGAAATACATTATCGGTCTAGGCATAGTCTCAAGGAAAGAAGTAAGACTGAAGCAGTGATTGACTTTATGGTAACGATATAAATACAAGCTATGCAAGAGCTAGAAATGAAACAAACATTTTACTTACAATTGCGTTGTCACAAAAAATATACACCCTCAAAAGTATATTAAATGAAAATAGAATCATCGCTTTGTGCCTCTGTCGCTCTTCGTTCACAAATCTAATGCCTAGAATAGGTGAGACTCGGGCGTATAAAAGAAAAACAGAATATTAGAGGAAGAAAGTTTTGGCACGACGACAATCTTAAATTGAAGAATTTACAATTCAAACTCGATTTTACAGTATTACTAGTCCATAGTTACTGTATGATGCGAAAAATATCCTCAACTTCAGAGGAATAGGATGTAAGTAATGGATTAGGTTTTTGCAGGAAACACACTAGTAACTGTTTTAGGATTGGTGGACAGTAGCTTTGCTTCAGTACATGGAGCAGAAGTTTTAAAGCAGAGCTATGATTCCTCACAGTTTCAACGTGAAGTTCACCTTTCAATAAACCAAGGTAAATAAGAATGCTTTCGCCTATCCGCCATGCGTTACATCCCAGCGTCACAAAAGCCCTCGAAAACAACGCATCCACACACGACAACAGCTCCTCTCTGTATCCTTCGAGCGCAACGATGTCACAAACCCGTTTGAAATTTTTTCCCATGTCGCTCTCGGCTTCTTTACATGAAATGGAAAGTACCTCTTTGGTAATCGCTGACGCCAGTGCTCGGAGGCGTAGATGATCCATTCCGAACAGCCTTGGGCTTGACTTGGATAGAAAAGAAGCAAAGATGGCGGCGAGATTTCTCGGGAAATATTCTTCAGCACATAAGTGTTCCAAGGCTAAGAGAGGCCCCGTTAAGTCCTTAACAATATCTACGTAGTCCTCTTGTTTGAGAAGACCCATTCTCACTAAAATACAAGTCCCCAGGGCGACCGCGTTGGATTGTGAATGGCAAAGTCCGAGCTTTAACACGGCACCTGCGCAACTGAATAACAACCGCTGGTCGCTCACAAAGGCAACGCAGACATGAAGGAAAATCTTTGCTATTTTATCTGCGTCCCACGAGCCCCCACCAGTAATGATTTTCTCTAAAAGCGAGCTAAAAAGTAAATCTCTTTTCTTTGCGCAATAAACAGAGATGTCTAAATTCTGAGAAAAGATTTCTAAAGTAGCCTCAATAAATGACGTAGGAGTACTTTTCATGGCAATGACGTCATCCAAACGCGAAAGATAAATGTCAATGTCGTCTGTAATGAGACCGCTGTCTATGCAATCTAAATAATTTTTGGTGTTATCTGAATCCTTGACGGAAATCATGAGTTTGTTCAGCTTTTCAAGGCTTTTCTTCAAACCTTCATTGTCCACCTCTGGAGGACTTTCTTCACAAAGCTCCATCAACGTTGAGTCTTCACATAGTGTTGTCAGCGTTGTCTTATCGTGCATGCTATTCAGCTCCCATATGGAGGGGTTCGCGTTGGTATTGCTTCGTGGTGCTGTTGATAGCTTTTCTTCTTTGACTTTCAAGTCTTTCTCTTGCAATTTCCATTTCGAAGATGATGGTAGGCTCTGGTGTTGCTTTGGAATCATCAACGATTTATCTCGAGAAAATGATATAGAGTCTTTTACACCCTGCAACAACTTGACCAGTATAATACGACTTCTTTCGATTTCTCTTGGTTTTAGATAAAAATCACACACGCATTGTGTTCTAGATTTGTCATTTAGCTTTGAAGAGGTGTGCGTTGCGAGGGGATACTGGAAAAGAGAAGTAAAAATTAAATCCGGTAAATTAATTTCGACAGATGCTCGCTTTTTACTTGAATAACAATTTGTTAAACCGTCCAGTACGTTTCTCTTATGTGTTAACAGAGCCATGATTAAATGCAAAGTTTTCAAAGATGCCTCTCTGTTCTCCTTCCAGCGAATGAACTTCAACGACGTCTTATCCTCCAGTTTTTTAGAAGACATAGAACTCCTTTCCTCGACTATTTTCTTATCCTCTCCATTATACATTTGACAGCTTTCGGATGCGTCTTCTTGATAAAGGCTCTCCTCAGAAGTCGTTTCTCCGAGGCCTCCAGAGCGCCGCTTCCGCCGAGATTTATAGTGGAGTAAAATGTCTGCGCTTGCTTTCTGGTTAAACTTAAAAGCTAAACCGACGGCCGTGAAACCAAGTTTGTCCTTAATATTTCTGTCACAACCATTGTCAATTAGCGCTTTCAGATTTTGAAGGTTTCCCAGTTTAGCGGCAAGATGGAGAGCGGTTCTTCCCAGTTTGTTGCGCTCGTTGACATTGCAAGACGCCGATGCTAAGATGCGCAAGATTTCGTCAGCTCTTGTCTGTTCACTGCTGATGTGTAATGAAGTCATCCCTTCCTGGAATAAACAGTATTTTACGATTTGGTACTCAGAGCATAAGTTGGAAATCCCCTACTGTATGTAAACGTTAGCCTTTGAGACGCTTTTTACAGATGAGAAATTAAAATAAACTCAAGGTTTCAATCCAGGGAAACTGTGCGGAACGCCTCTCTAGCTTCTCAGTCAAGTACTCATTAGCTAGTTTCAAAAGTTCAGTTAATAAAACAAAGCGCGGTAGTAAACAACCCTATAGTCGCGAAGGGGTGCGGAAAAACTGAGAGAGGTTTATGTCGTGTATGGCTCGTTAGTAGCCTTCCTCGCTTTTTCTCCTCCGCTACTCTTGCGTCGTTCATCTTAACTAACTGAACCCCTGAAACAGACTCACTACTCACTCTTGAATTACTCCATACAGGGACTCCACGGTTGGATCCAGGGTAGTTAAATATAAGTGAGTTCCGGAACTCACTCAAATTTTTCAAAAACACTCTGATCTCCCTTTAGAAACTACTGATCCGTTTCTGGAGATGACTTGACTTTCCTGAAAACACTGGACTTTATACTGTTATAGCGAACACACATCAGTGACACAGGTTTGCATAGCAGCTGATGCTAGTAGATCAGAGGGTTTCATGTAGTACTTTAAAAAAAATCTTTTTGCCTTTTTGGTACATGCTATTTTGCTCTCTTTAGTGCAATTAAATTATCTGAAATGCAGGAAATGCCATTTAGAGAGGTCGAAATTTCAAATTTTCTCGGGGGGGGGCATGCCCCCGAACCCCCCTAGTGGGAGTGTCTCCTCGGGTGGAAACTACTCACTTCAAAACCTGGATCCACCGCTGAGGGGAACTTACTTTCGTGCGACTGTTGACGTCACATCCCGCCAAAACCAGCATCTCGATCAGATCTTTATTTCCCTGTAGAGTGGCCAAATGAAGCGCAGTGAAACCCATGGAGTCTCTTGACTCGAGTTCACATGTTCGTGTTGGTCCTGTTAGGCTGCGAACGGCTTTGAGGTCCTGTGTAACCACAGCGTTATGCAGAGAAGAATATCCGTACATGTCTAGGCATAAAAGGATAATAAAAAAAGCCTTTACCCTGAATTCTGTACGTTTTGCTAGGGCGGTTCAATTCGGCATATGAAACCTTTTCAGCCTGTAAATATTTTTCTCACAACATTAAGAGAAGTCTTTCCGCGTCGAATTCAACGCCGCTTCCTTTTAGCGCTTAATTCGGCGGACTACAACAGTAGAAGTAGCAGCAAATAAAACTGATTAATGTTATGAACGCCATCTTGACGGCAGGTTACTCTGTCAAGACAGGGCATTACATCTTGATGACGTCAATATTGACTAAAAGAAGATTTTCTCAAAATCAGTCTATGCAAGTTAATCTGGATGTTTTGATACTTGTTGCGTGGGCTGTCTAAGTTGTATTCTAATTAACCTGTAATCATATACTGACTGACACAAAATATTGTAGTCCCGTAACGTGCAGTTAAAAGCGTTTTACAACGAAACTTTCACGCATTATCACTTACATCTTAAACTGAATTAACTTACGGAGAACAAAAAAAACACAAATTCTTCAAAATCCTCTAACGGATTGGTAATAGCAGGCATGTTGGTGATCGCAGCTGTGCACATGATTAACTTGCTCTGCAATCACAAGCTGAACGAGGGAAGACTAAGGGAGAAAGGGAATACTTTTTATTTCCCTCTAGCTATTTACCCGGTGCTACACACCGTCGCTTCGCCAGCTATCAACCAAACAGCTCGGATGGTCTATTCTAATTTCTAACGTCTCGAAACTATTTTTTCTTAAACTTCGCTCATTGAATCTTCTCTAAACTTCCCAGTTGCCCCAAGTCTCTCTTCTTTCTAGGAGAAATCAGTCAGATCCTTCATGGAAGGAAGCAAACACAGTGGATAGCAACGCCGGAAACTGGTACTATTTCGGGTTCGATGTAGAAGTTTTAGCTCTTTAAACTTTAGCAAGCGGATCAGATAACTACATGTGGGAATCACGCGCCATCCTTTGAGTGGCTTCAGACCAACTGAAAACGGAATTAAATGTACCAATTTGTTCTTCTAGTAATTTGTATACATCCATATCATCATTAATTGGATTTCTTGATTTATTTTGCCTTTCGGTTTTGTTGTAATACGATGAAACACTACGTTCCCCTGCAGCAGTTCGAAACCCTGTTTGATAATCTAATTGATGTCGTTAGGAAAGAGGCACACACGAACATGTTTCTGACACGGCCATCTCCTACGTTTCCATATCAAGAACGCCTAACCGGCCACGGGAATGAGCTATGTTTGTTTCTCAAGTTTTGCATGCATTTTCACGACAATCTCGCGATGTTCGCTAATTCAATACGTACATAGCTTTGACAAAGGAAATGACGCGGCAACTCCATAATATGAGAAAGGGTCAACAGTGAACAAGCTTTCATAAGATTGTTAGCATAAAAACTCACTGTTTGGACTTTAGTTCAAGCACAATATCCTGTCACAAGGAGGCTTTTTTGATCCATTTTGAATATAATTGTAACTTCATTTGCAAATCTTTTTGAAGGCACGTAGATCCCACGAAAGCATGGCAACAATTTTGCCGAGGCTCGCTCAATTTGCCCCTTTGATCTTCTGAGGAATGTCGGTTTGTCGTTTGAGATCTTTCGTCATCAAATCCTTCCTCAAACAATGGACTTGATCATTATTTATCGACGTCTTACAATCGCGCTGATGATTTTATGATAGGATGAAAAAACTAAAGGTTATGATACTAGATAATTATTAAGTTCGATCTGTGAAAATTTTAATTTGATGTCCACCTTTTTGAGAGTTTGAGATATAAATATTGTGCCTCTTGAAATAAAAGGAGACCCTTATTCTTTCTGAATGATTGTTATACGATACATGTCAGTGTGTTATTTACCCACAGTGATATTTGAAACGCTCTCTGGCGCATTTCAAGGTTGAAAATTTAATACAAATTTGGCGGAGTGGATGTCACGCCTTCCGTTGAAGTTCTTCAAGTTTTTTTTCAATTTCTTCAATTTTTAGGTTGGGTACGGTACACATACGGTACACATGCAGCGTACAGGAAATATGTTCGCTACCAGTGACGGGAAATGATGGGTTCGCAAGCCTGGACGGTCGAACGAATTGGTTACCAATGGTGCGAAAATTTCCCATAAAAGAAACAAACAAACAAACAAATACGCATATTGTACTTTTTTCGGTCTCCACCACGCGGGCTATGATTTGTAGTGAAAATGCCTTAGTCCTACTTAAACCGAAGTACACTCGCGGGAAAAAAAAAAACGGACGCTAAAACGGTAAATGACAAAGGAGCTCAGCCTCTGCAACTTCACAAGAACTAACTCGTTGACACAAAAAAGGAAGCGTTGAAAAAAGGTATGTCACGATTTTAAACTAGAAACAAACTACAAAATATTAGCTCTCAGATACAAGGGTAAAGGAGAAAGGTATAAACAAACCAAGAGTTGACGAGGATGAACGCGGATGGAGAAGATTGAGACGGACGATCTTGAAAGATTTGGGCCTAACTTTCCAAGATGCACGACTGGCATGGCTCTCACCATATGTAGGTTTACCGTTCTAACTTGCTAGATTTTTCAATAACTTACGGTCAGGAAGCTATAGCGCCTTTCCTTGCTTAGCCACTACCAGTTTATATTTGTATAGGTGGGTGGGATAAATATAAAAAGGCATTCCAATGATCCCATAACTGAGTTCTTCATCTGTACTAGAAATACGGTTCTGCCTATTTTCAGGAGCCAATGAATCTGTATGATAATTTATTTTATTCATCCTTTTTTGTCATCTGTTCCCTACAGCAGCTCAGAAGAAATTGTATTGGCCAAGCTAGAATCTTGGTATCACTGTGGGCGACACAGATGGCTGATAAAAGATATCAGAAAAAAAAATATTGGTCACAAATTACATCAAGATTACGTAAGTGGTTCCCTTTCGCTTCCGGGGGCGTGACGGGGCGCGTTCCGATAATTGGAAGAAGATCTGGAAACTAGTAGTGCGTCACCATTTAGTAAGAAACCGCTGGCTACACGTTACCGTGACCCTTTTTGCGCAGTAATGGCCGTCCCTCGTGGTGGTGAATGAGAATTCTTGACTCCCGAATCATGTAAAGAAACGCAGTTTGCTCTCAATTAACACCATGACGAACATACGTTAAGCACAAAATAAACCAAAGAGCAGCAAGCCGACAGTCTTGCTTGAAAGAATGCCTTCTTCGAACATCAAACGCAAGAAAAAGCCGGGACCCACCAACTCTCCGACTCCAAACGGAGGTAGTGGAAATTACACTGAAACGGCAATGGACGAGTTTCTGGCCCGCTTGAACTTGTACAGAAAGCCGATCGCGAAAGATGGCTCCTGTCTTTTTAGAGCAGTGTCTGAGCAAGTAAGTTCCGTCGCTTTGTTTATTAACAAAATGCTTTAAGACGTTTTAAGGATTTAACGTAAATGTTGTTATTCCTATATTTGATCTTCCGTCACCAGCTTTAAAGACGTTCGAAATTCTGTTTTTCGCCTCCATCAGTAATTTGGTGCTTTGCCTTCTAACATTTTTAATGTAACTGATGTTTTCTTGTGCAACAAACTAGCCTCCACTTGGGATGGCCTCGTGATCGAACGTTCAATTGTTGTGTACGTTATGTTAAATAAATGTTTCACTTTGTTGTTTGGACGTTAACTCAATTTACAACAAGTATATTCGGAAAACTTCCAGCGATATATTTTTTTCTCGCCGCAATTTTTTGTTCCTTATATTTATTTACGGAAGCTTCAGCGTAGAATGTTACAAGCCATTCGAGTGGTGACAGGCATATAGCTATGCACCTTCGTATGTAGATCCGAAAATGACACAGTAAAACTTCAGCTTACCCGCATTTAGTAACCAAAAGTGGCAGTTGGTATTTATCATGCCAGCCTGCTGTCTTTGTTTACATGTGAAATTAATTGCAGGAGTTCGAGTTATGTAACACTTTCATCTTGTGGATAAACATTTTGTTTTAGAAGTCCTGTTCTGCTTGTCGTTATTAGGAAAGAGGAATTGACAACAAATTGTTCAATGTTTTTCTGTTTTTGTTTTAAGGTCTACAACTGTCAAGCCAAACATCTCCAAGTTCGTAAGGATTGCATAGACTTCATGCGAAGAAACAGGGAAAAGTTTGAAGCGGTAAGATATTTTGATAGTATGGCCCAGGGCACAATTGTTTAGAAATCTGGGAGTGTAAATCCTTGATTAGAAATTAAATGTGGTTTTGATTAGACATCTACAAAAGTGTCTAACCCTATGGCTGATATATTAAGATGAATGAAAAAGGAAAAAGCAAACCCTTTAATTCCCATCTGTGCATTATCCAGCCAACGGGTAAAGAAAATACTCCAACTTACCAGGTAGAAGTTGTTTTCTGGATCCAACATCAAATTCTTGTCACTGGCGTACAAAGAAATGTGTAGCAGCTAGAGGGGAGAATGAAAAATCAGATCTTGGGAAATAAATTCTGAGACTTAAAGGGTTAAAAGCTTTGAGATCTCAAGTGAATGAGCGTGAAACACCAAAAAATGGGACCTTAAACAAATCACGACGGTGATGGCAACAAGGACATGAAAGAAAAATGATCTAATTGGCAGAACAATAGATCAGCATGTGCATTTTAAAACTTAATACATACTTGGCCGTCCTTTGCAAAACAACAATGTGAAATCACCAAAATTTAAGTTGTCTGCAAACCGAAACTGCAACAGAAAATTATTTTAATTTCCACTTGGAACTCAACACTGTACTTTTATATGTTGAGGTTGAGTTGTGGTACCAGATAAGACTGTAAACACATGCAGCCATTTTCGAAATCCTAATTGAAATAGAAATTCATTTTTTAATCTATGTCTTCATTGATGTTACCATCCTGACTGCATAAGGTCGTTAATAATGCCACTGATACTCTGCAACGTAGTTTGGCAGGGTAGTAACTATGATGATAGTTAATGGAGTAACACTGTGAATTGATACCATGATATGGATTCCTCTAATGCATTAACATAATGGTAACTTTTATACAATCTTTTGTTTTCAGTTTTTAGAAGGTCCATTTGATCATCACTTATTCAGACTACAAAATCCAAAGGTACCGTACATCATCATGCAAAGTAATGCAAATTGTTTAACAGAACAAATTGGATAATGGTCGAACTTCCGAAAGGTTTTTAACAAGAGGAACACAAACATAATTGCTGTCAATACTTAACCCTTTTATATCATAATAGCAGCTTGCATATTCTCCTTATTGTTCTCTGTACATTTCCCAACGTGTTGACAAGTAGAATTTCTGCGATAATCAAGCTTTTTAAGTTGGTGATAATATCCTTTATTCTCGTGATCTTAATGTGTGATCTAGAGGTGATATTGTTCGGAGAAATCAGATGTTAGTCGTTCTCAGAGATCAAAGGGTTAGGAACCATTGCTTTGAAAATAAGACATTTTCAAAGACTCCCAAGACTTCAAATGTACCAAACAACTTGTAAACTTGTAAGTGAAAACTGCATGTATTCTAAATTTGTAAAACTTTCTCTTCTTTATTTTCATTTTAGGAATGGGCAGGGCAAGTTGAAATAAGTGCGCTTTCACTGATGTATAAGTAAGTAGTCTATATACAAGATATATGTGCTCAGCTAGAGTTAAACTAACAGTCCCTCTACAGGGCTCTACACTAACTTTTCAACGTACTAGCTTAGTGGATAGAGACAACTTAGATTTTACAACAATTTCAGTTTGTTTACTAGCCAAACCAGCTGGTGGAAATAAAAAACCACAAGCCAAAACTGAATTTCTACTAGTCTGTGGCTAATTGATATTTGGGCAGTACAAATCAATAAATATATTATTATTATTATTATTATTATTATTATTGTTATTAATTGGCTACCATTAGTGTTGAGCCCTGCCTCCACACTTGATACTTAAATCTGACTCCTAGATAGACAAAATAATTTGAATATATCAACAAAGTTGAAATGGTAAATTGGCCACCGTTACGGTTATAAAAGCTGATGTTTCGAGCATTAGCCCTTCGTTGGAGCCCTTCGCTCGGACGAAGGGCTAACACTCAAAATGTCAGCTTTTATAACCATAACGGTGGCCAATTTACCATTTCAACTTTGTTGATATATTCAAATTATTTCGTTACCCCCACCAACGCAGCACCAGAGTTTCTTTAGAAACTATCAGCCTTTATCCATTCCTAGATAGACAGACTCTTTGCACTTTAAGGGTTGAGTTGCAGGTAGTGACAGCTAACTTTCATCTGACCAGTGCTCTATATTGCTACCGAATTGTCTCTATTTCAGTTTGCCTTTGATTAACATCTTTTACTAAAACTTTATCTGGTTTGATCAAAAGAGAACTTTTAAGTATAGCCAGTAATTGTTTTGTTTATATAAGCAGACTTCTCCTCAACTTTTATTTGGAATTTGTTCTCTCATCTAATGGCATTTATAGCTTGTGAAGTGTCTTCTTAAGATTTTTTATCTAACTTTTTTTTTTTTAACATGAATCATTTTAGTTCAATTTGTGTTCCAAGATGATTATGCTACATTCCTTCAACTTGTCATTGGGGTTACTAGTTTAGATGAAGCAGGCATAACAATTTGTTTTAACTTTCAGGAAAGACTTTGTTGTCTATCAAGACATCAATGCAGAACCCACCAAGGTGACTGACAACAATTTCAAAGACAAGGTAATTATCATAGTTATGATTTAAAAAAAAAACATTCAAACTCTAAAAATTATTAGCAGAATTTTAATGTATACAGTAATGATCAGTGTTTGCCTTGCAAGCACTTTGTTGTTGCATAAACCCCACTGATCAGGAACAGAGTTTAATCCCAAATATACTCATAAAGATATAAAGATATATGGGAAATCGTCCTACTTGCCTGGATTCTTGCCAAGATTGAATTGTAGACACATCATGACAGAAGTTTCAAGTAAAGTCATAAGTATTTGTGGCCAGGAATAACTAGTGCTTAGCTAAGACTTTAAAGTACTTACAGTACTTGGCTAATTGTAAATAAAAGTGCCCTGAAGAACAGGCTTTTCCACAGATGGTTTGATTTTCCATTAAGACATTTCCAGTACTTGTGGAACAAGAAAGAAAAATGTTTGCTTGAAATAGTGATCTTATATCAGTACAAAACCTGTGCTTGGGTCATTTCAGGTCACTGCATTTTAGAGGTATTTCCTAATGAACCTAAGCAAGTCTTCAAGTCACTTAGCATGGTGTGATTGAACTGCATTTTCTCTAGTTTTCAGATAATGTGTACAAAGGCGGATGTGAGGAGCGCACCCTGAATATGTTTAGATATTTCACTGAGCACCACTCAGTCATACCTTGATATAAAATGTAACTTTGCATCCGCTCTCTTTCCAGATTCTGCTTTGCTATTCAAATGGAAACCATTATGATGCCGTTTATGACACTAAATTCCAGAAGATGGCAGCCATGTGCCAATGTAAGTAAATTCGAGTTTGAATGAGGTACAGAAAGGGTCTGAGCAAAGTTACCGAGTTATAACTACTGTATGACCAATATATAAGTCAAGAGTGATGTTTTGAAATAATTTGGATATATCAACAAAGTTGAATTGGTAAATTGGCCACCATAACGATTACAAAAACTGACGTTTTGAGCGTTAGCCTTTCGTCGGAGTGAGTTGACTTTTTGGTCATAAAAGGTTGACTTAGACACAAGCAAATTTGGTACTTGAGAAATGATCATGTTAATTACCGTAAAAAAAACCCAGATGTTGATGCCAATTTTCATTAAAGCGTCCAATCTAATGCCTGATTACCAAGCTTTGAATGTTCCATTCATGTTCTTGTTGTGAATGCAAAAATCTTTGGAAAAACTGTGTTGAATGAAGAAATTCCTCTCAACAAATACCAGAAAAAGATCAATCGTATGTCAAAGTTGGTAGAAACGATGTTAATTATACGAAAGTGCTAAAAAATTGCTGGTAAGACTTTGAAGTATTTTCCATTGCAATGTTAATTGTGAGTTTACGTTCGATGAACAGTGGATGAAGAAGACTTCTCAAGACTCGACTTCGGATTTCTTTTGATTTCTTTCAAAAACTTTTTTTCCAAAATTTGAGCTGCTAAATTCACGGTGCAGCTTATCTGTGGGTGCAGCTTATCTCCGGGATTTTACAGTACACTTAGATTGATATTAAACCGTGAAATGAATCACACTGAACCCATTAACTCCAGATTTAAATAACACTTCTTTGCACAGTCTGTCATACAATTCTTACAAATTTAGCCCTGAGAATTTTTTATGAAATCAAACTTTATCTTCTGATTGTTTTTCTCCTCTCTTCTCATTGCTCTTATGCTCAAGAATGTTATTGAGATTGTAAAAAGAAATTCAACTGTGTTTTTCTTGGAAGTGAAAAGCTTAACCCTTGAACTCCCAGGAATGACTAAGACAGAATTTCTCCCAACAATATCAAGCAGATAAGTGATGAGAATAAAGAAAAATATTTTCACTTTGGAGTAATTATGAGTTGATCCAACACCAAATTGTCCAATATAAGATGATAAGAATCGTGCGGCAAACAATGAGGAGAATGGGAGTGAGAGGGTAAGGCAGGAATCTGTGCAACTAGATATTGGTTGGGCACTAGCAGCTCATTAAGAACCTCTTTTTTAGCAACAAGGTCAATTTTTATCATAAACAAAAATAACATTCCTCTTCAGTAAATCCAGTTTTTGCGAGTGTACTTATAATAAGGCCTTTTTTTTTTACTTGAAATTGATGGGTCTTATGGATATATACATATTCATTAGTTTTACAATAAAGGGGGAAAGTTTCTAAAGGAACTATAGTCCTGAATTGGTGTGGACTATTACAAGATAATTTGGTTTTATCAACTGAGTTGATAATGTAATTTGGCAGCTGTAGAGAGTTTTGAAGGCTGATGTTTTGAGCGTTAGCCCTTTGTCAGAGCTCTGGCAGAGAGCTAATGCTTGAATGGTCAGCCCTTGAAACTGTCAATGTTGGCCAAATTACAATACATGGTCAACCCAGTTGCTAAATCCAAATTTTCCAAGTATTTCATCAGTTTGTATTGGTCTCAGGATTTCTTAACATTATTCCATTGATCTTGTTGAAATAAAGCTCTGGTGTATGAGCTCTTGTACCAGAATGTGTTTGGAGAGCTTGACAGAAAATGTGGCTCCAGGCAGAATTCTCCTGGTGATGTGAACAACATGGGGACAGCAAACTTCTATCAGAATGGCCTTGGAGATGAAGATTCTTTCAAAGAAGATGGAGAAGACAACACTGGTTGGACGGAGGTTGTTAGAGGAAAAAGTAAAGGTATGTCACTGTGGAAGACATCAGTCTTGGAATGTAGGGATTGGCTATTATTTTGAAGTTTCCAACTGCTCTAAGGTAATTTTCTGCATCACAGAAATATTGTAAAGTACTGTGATGTATTTTAGCCCAAAGGTACTGCTATGTACATGTAAGTTACAAAATTTTGTGAAGTTTTAATGGCTGTTTGGTTTTTAATCTAAAAACCTGTTTAGAAAATGCCACAATTGGGTCTGAGAAAGGGCCACTGCAACTGCAACTTTGCACGTAATGGTTTGTGAGAAATTCACTGCACAGCATAATCTGAGCCGTGTCATTTTGGTCTTTTTATTTAGCAAAATCTGCTCGGCAGAACAGAGGTTATGACCAAGAAGAAGTCAGGGAAGAACTGGCAAAACCAAACTTGAATCAGAAACATGGATGGCAAGCAAAGAGATCTCTGGATAATGAACTGTACCGGAACGTTGAACTGGAAGTATGGGAGGATTTAAAGAATGGTAATAATTTACTCTTCTTCAAGCATTTCTGCATTTTTCTTTAGGATGTAATGGTGGCATTTTTTTTTTCACTGTTGTTGTGTTCTGTGTGTGTGTTATTAATTAGCTTTGACAATTTGTTGATGTAGTTCAAGAACAGCAGGATCAATATTTAGCAGCAAGTATCCAGTACCAGCCAGGAGACAAATGCTTTGTAAGTAAACTTACTATCTTGTGTTCTATGAGTTTATGCATTACACAAGTCTCCTCTAATCTCAGAGAGTAGAAATTTAATGAAGCAAGTACAAAATGTATGAGATAATCTTGGGTTGGACTCCATCTAAAGGATTTCTGACAGTCCGCTTTTCTGCCAATTTACTATTTTCATGTTGCTAATCACTTGTGCAGGTACAGGAAAGTCTGGGTAGGATTTTTGAAGGTTATTTTCTTTATCTACAGCATACAAGAACACCCATTTTTCAGGGTTCAGGCTGATTGGGTTCTTATTTATCTGGTATTTTAGGTGAAATCAGCCTGAAAGTGTTCTCAAGTGTTTTTAATTTTTTACTTCTAAAAAACTGTAAAGGATTTACCAACTATGATGAAATACATAACTTTGAGAGAAAATTAAACTTGAGACACACAACATTAGAAAATAAATTGCACAACCAAGCTTTCGACCGGCATCTGCTAGTCTTCCTCAGGGATTAGAACTATATTTTTCATGTAATTGTAAGACTTAATTCCAAATACAGTTGTTGTACATTTGCTATACACAGCAAGTGAAATTACTAGCATTTATAGTTTTACAGAGATCTTAGTGCAATACCACAGTAAAGCTACAGACACTGTTTGTTTTATTAAACTGAAAAGGGAAGAGTTTTTATATAAAATTAATTATAAGAACAATTTTCAGTTTTCAGGCTGAATGTGTTCTTATATATATATGCTCCTTTTTTACCAAATTTCAGCCTGTGTGTTCTTAATCCACTAGTTCTTGTCTGTGGGTTTTCACTGTAGCTTGTCTTCCCCCTTCCTTTCTCATGCAAGACTCTTATGTGAAGTGTAGTCAACTTATGAAACAGGGTGTCAGTAATGGAACCAAAGCTGGCATAGGCACAACTTTTTGTTTTGGTTGAATGAAATTTATTTCTTTGAATTACTTGCACCGCAATTAAGCCCTTTTTACAAAACATGCGCACATGTTGCTTGCAGGTTTGCAACTAGTATCTTGGTCTTGCAGATGTAGTTGTGGTACAACATGTTATCTGACATAAATCGCCAAATCAGAAACTTTTTGATGTAATTAAGTTGTGAAAAGTTGTTCTCCATTTGCCATGGCAACCAAAAAAGGAGGGTTACTTGTAGCTCAGATCACTGAAAATGATAATGAATTTGTCTTGTTCCTAGGCCTGGTTGGGGCAACCAGAGGATTCAAACAGAGTCTATGAAGCCATTGTCATCTATTACCTCCCAATCCAGGGAAGAATTGAGGTGAGTTGAGACAGATTCCTAAACACTTTTCAGTGAATGTATGATGCACAATCCTCGCAATAGGTAGCGCTATTTATGCAATAGCGAAAATCAGACCTAAAAAAAAATCAGGCCTGTACGGGACTCAAACCACTGACCTCTGAGATACTAGTGCAGCGCTCTACCAATTGATTAAACCCGTGAAAGTGATAAATGAGATACAATGAATATATGAAGTTCATATATTTTGAACTGCGGTATCGTACATTATACGTATACCGCAGTTCAAAATATAGAACTGTTTTGAAGTACAACTATGTAGTTTGGTTATTTTGGGTCATTCTTCTATTTTTTTTAAAACCTTTTGATCGTTATTTTTTTTTTTTCAGGTGAAGATTCCAGAGCTTCAAAATAAATGGTAGGCAATTTTACATTTATTCTCATCTTTTACTTAATTTTGATAAATTTTAGTTGTGTGAGAGGGTTGTGAAGGTTCTTTAGTAAATGAACCCCTTCAAGTGGCTGGTATGTCAGCTCATTTCTCTTTGTCTATCAATGTGGTTATTCCTCTTTAGCAAAGGAGATATAAATTAAAAAGCAGGTATTTCAATTTCAGCATAGATGAACATAATTATCACATGTGGTTAGGGATCAGTGTGGGAACAGTTAACCACTTCCACGTATTTATTTTATTTTTTTTTTTTTTGTCTTTTTTCAGTTTTGTTATTCTTCTTGAAAACTTGAAGCCCTCTGAGAATCAACATGGTAAGTTGATACAAAGATAGTATCCTGAAGACTGTACACCCATGTAGTTTATGGCATATGTGTGAGGGAAGATGGGAAAATTGGCACCAGAATAGAAATTTTCCTCCAATGGGATCAGGAATAATGTCCTGATATGTTTTTTTCCTTCTCCAGAGTTGAATTACAGAGATTTAACAGGCTACTACAAAAAATCTGAATCTGGAGGGCCCTCTAGTACTGACGGTGTGTTTGCCCCACAATTAATTCTTCTTTGTTGGACTAATGCATATCATGTCCTCATTGCCTTGCACTGAAATTTGAAATTTAGGAGGAACTATATACAAGTGGAACTATAATTAAACAATGTTTTGTCTTAACATCTAACTTGTTGTAATGATCTTCATAGGTTTGCGAGATGACGGAAAACGAGGAAGGAGAAGGAACATGCAAGGAAGACCCCAGAGAGGATACAAGGTCAGGAAAACAACACTAGCTTGTACATGAATTGGATCATTTTATTTTTCCTTTGTTTAATTAATTTTTTTTCAATTTTATCTTCCTCTGTTTCCATCTCTGTCTCTAATACATCCTAACTTGGACCTATAGATTCTATTTCTCTACCGAGTTCAAAAACTTACCATCCTTGTATCCTATTTACAAAATATGACGCTATGGACATTGCCGATCCTAGCAGTATGCAGGACGCGTGTCATAAATGCACTTGGCGATGCGCCTTGCTCACTATAGACTCTCTGTGGCTCAGTGGAAGAGCATCGTAGCATGGAATCTGAAGGTCTGGGGTTCCATTTCTTGTGGGGACTCAGAAGTTTTCTTTGTCCCACACTTGTGACTAGATGAACAAACATATTTATTTATATTTTTATGTTGCAAAAATTACAGCATGTTAATTGAACAGATAATTCTGTTTGAGAGTGACAACTGAATTTTCTTGTTTTTTACTCACCTGGATGATTGTTTGTTTTAATATACAGGGTGATGAACACGGTGAAGATGCAGCGGGTCGGAAGGGTTTTCAGGTATAATTTAGTTCATGAAAATTAATACTGAATTGTACACATACCTGTTCATTGTACTTGGATCACATTAGAATCCTTGATAATTTTCTTTAAACCTCCCCCCCCCTTAACCCTAAGAGTGACCAGCATCTAATTTCTCCCTACAGTTTTTCTGCTGAAGAATTTATTAACACCATCAGAATAAATGAAATGATCGCTTACCTAGGATGTTTTGATTGTTAAACGAATTCTCCTTGTCAGTACCAAAGGAAATGTATCCAAAAAAAAAGCATATTGATATTAGGGTGTAAAAGGCCACCCACCCCACCCGTGAAAAACTACGCGAAAAAGAGAGAAAGGTTTATCATGGGCCTGGGTCAGATTAAAAAAATATTCGTCCCCAGGAAGATTTGACGGAATTTTTCTATTTCGCGGTCTTTACCACTGTAGAGCTAAGGCTCGTTCTGAGTTTCTGAGTTTCTGCTCTCTCTCTCTCTCTCTCTCTCTCTCTCTCTCTCTTATTTGATAACCAAGCTCAAAGTTAACCAACTTTCCTATTTACTCACCTTGAAGAAGAGCGCATTTTGATCGAGTTTTGTCAAACCGAAATTGTTAGTAATCAAGACAGCAAGTGAGAACAAAGGAAAATAAGCGCGGGAAAACGACAGTGACGTAGACGTTGTTGGTTTCAGTTTTGCATCTGATTGGTCGAGAGTTGCACGCGTTTTCTGGACCAATTACAGAGTGTATTGAAGCAAATCCAGTGTAATCTCGTCTTATTTTGGACACTACATTGAAAATTTCTCAAAAACTTTGTTGAGGTCTAGGACCACCAGGAAAGAATGACTGGACTCAAAGGGAGAATCGCGATGAATAACTTTGGTTTTGTGTTATTTAAGGATGATGCCTTTGCTAGACCGAGAGGTGGTTCTGGACCACGTGAAAAGTTTGGAAGGGCGAGAGGGCGGGGCCGCTTCCCGAGAGGACGAGATGAGAAACAGGTTCAAAAGGAGGACGAGGAAGCCAAACAGATTGCAGTGAGTATACTGTAGTACGTCCTGTACATTCAATAGGATGCACTTAAAATTTGGCTGTTGTTGTTAGATTTACAAGTGATGTCAATTCCTAGTATTCAATAGGCCTTGTTTATTTTCCTCTCCAAGGAACAAGCCAAGTTAGCGGAATTACAAGGAAAGGACCCAGCAGCCTTCCCTGCTTTACCAGTACGTGCAACTTCTTGTAAATTGTTAGTTAAAGCAGACAACATTGACCCTTTGACTGCTAAGGATGACTAATTTCTCCTTACAATGTCACCCTCCCCTCCCCCCCCCCCCCCGAACCCCGAATCACACATTAAGGTCACGAGAATGAAGGAAACGATCACCAACTAAAGAAACCAAATTCTCCTTGTCGGCACCGTAAGAAATGTAGGGTGGACAGTATGGAGAATATGCAAACTGATGTCTGGTTGTTTAAGGTTAAAACTGTTTTATTTTATAATATTTCATACTCTTATGGGAGCATCGGTGGAAGACGCGGAGCCCGAACCGTTAGCACTCTGGACCTCTAGTTTCACACCTTTTACTTTACTTTTACCTTTTCCTTGCTGTGATTTATTTTAAGGGTTTCCTTTCGCTGCAAAAATCAACTCTCTGGATTTTGGTTTGATCATAGCAAACGATCAGTGGAAGAAGAACCGTTATGAATTTTGCAAAAACTTTTCCTGTTTTGATTTCTCTAGACCCAGCAAGCTGAAGAGCGGACTCCTTCGTCTGAAGCTGCACCAGATCAATCCCCAGCAGAGTTCTGGAGCCGCTTGAACAACAGTCAACTGAAGCCTACTGGTCCACCCAAGGAAAACCATGTTAGCACAGAAAACAAACCTCTAAGTGTTTCAACAGCTAATCATCAACAGCCTCATGGTGAGAAGGAACTGGAATTAGAGAAAGAGAGGCTGCTGGTCAGGGAGGTGAAAGTACCAGGGGCTCTTAATAGTGAGAATGTTACTAAAACGGAGAGTTGGTCTCTTGAAACTAGCAGTAGTCCTAGTCCTTTGGAAAATGCGAAGAAGGAACAAAGTGAGACTCAGAAACAACCCTTACCTGTTGAAAAGGAACTTTTGAAAGGCAAGGTAGACCTTCCGAAGGGGCGTCCCTTGAATGATTTTAAACAGCCCACAACAGCTTCGTCATCAGATGTAGAAAGTGTTCCACTAAAGTCCAATATGGAAGAAAGTAATTTAATAGATTCTGCCGAGATAAGGAGTACTTGGATAAAAGATCCAAATGAAAAGAAAGACGTAAAAACGCAAGATAAAGCTCCAGACAGTAGCGCGAAATTATCGGAACAAGAAGCAAAGAAGACAGAAGAGCTTGCAGTGAAGCCACAAGGAACAAGGGGGGTTATTCGTGTGTCAAATGTCAATAACAAATCACAGCAGGTCATGGACGCTGAAGATCAGGAGGAGGCCTTGAAGGGGGACAGTAAATTGTTCAGAAAAGAGGATTATATTCCCAAAGATGCACCAAACCTCAAATCAGCGCTGGCAGGAGAAGGTCCTGCATCAACCTCTCCCGAGAAAAAGACTGTGACCTTTGCTGAGCCACTTAATGGAGGAGGGGAATTTAAAGTTCTTCATTTAGCTGGTCGAGATGGAAAGAGAGATGTGCATGTTCCATCAAGTCTACGTACAGTTGTCGTGTTTGTTTCATACGTGTTCCTGTTGTGTTTGCGGTAAACTGCACGCTTCTTGAGAAAACCAAACGATGATCCTAACGAGAAGAAAAGTATATTCTCTTATCCTTTACTTTTGTTACAATTTTAGAGACGCCTTTTGAAGAGAAACTTTATCCAAATCCCTTCACTTACATCCCCCAAGGTATTATAGTATGGGGAGGGGGTGCGCGGTTTGGGGCTGGGGGGAGTGGTTTGACTTTCTTTAGATGACAGATCAGGTTAGCCATCATTTTGAATTAAAAATTTTTCTGTAGACACTCAGTGATATTTTTATTATTTTGTTTCACAGTTTCTGTTGTGATGAAACCTGCTGCTTCTTCAGATACTGCAGAGAATTTGCCAGTTTCCCACGTGCCTGTAAGTGTAGCCAAGTTTTGCACAAGAATGATTTACTGCGATCTACTGTATATTCGTGTTCTCCAGGCTGTGGTTATTAAATTGAATTTATGCGATAGTGAAGTCAGTTTGTAAATCCTGTGGTATGACGTAAATGAAGCAATATGTTCCCAGTCGCCTTCGCGCGCAGTCGTCGTTTGAGCTCGTCACGCTACACCCTGTCTTCTGTGTTCCGTGACAAGCTCAAACAACAGCCTCGAAAGAGATCAGTGTCAGGCATAAACTTCTGGTTTTTTTTTTTGTTTTTGTTTTTTTTTTTTTTTGGACGCTTTGGAACTGTTTTCCTTTACTCTACACAAGTTGCTGCTCTAGATTTGTTATAGTTCTACCCCAACTGTTACTTTTCCCTTGTCGATTGGTTTTATTCCGCAGGCGAACAAAGCCGACAACAACACCAGCGAAGACGAAGCCTCGAATGCCCAAGCCGCCATACCCACCCCCGACAGTAACACTCAACAACCGCCCCCTTCCCCCGCCTCCGAAGACACCAACCAGAGCAATGAAGGAGCAGACCCTGCGCCGTCCAGCTCACCGTCAGTGACACACCAACACCAATCGTATTTTCAGCTGCCATTCCTGCCCGTTATGTACGTACTCCTGCCGAACATGACCAGTATGCCACGCATGCCTCAAGGGATATCTACGGAAAGCGACGCTTCGGATCTGCCCGATGGTAAGTTGTTTTGTTCCGCTTTTGACCTGGCTAATCTGGATCCAGGTTCTTAGCAAGCGGTAGTCTTGATCAGGGCCTCCTCTTACGAGCTAGTTTAGCGGTTTTTGAGTCATCACCTCGCCACTCTCTCCTTGTCCAATTACTGTAATTTTACGTTTAACGGCGCTCAGCTTCTACCAGCTCTATTTTCAGACAACCACTTTTTTACTTACAAGAGTAGATCGTCCCCCTCCCCCCCTTCAATTTGAAGCTAACGAAAGTAAGCTTCGTTGGACGCACTCACAATTGTATGCTTACCTCTCTTATTTTGCAGACCCTAATACTCTCCGATATTTCTTCAATCTTGGATTTCAGGTAAGGATCTTGGATTTCAGGTGTTTTGATAACACCGAAAACTCTCTTATAATTGTCATCATTCTTTGCTTGACCAGTAAGTTTCTCGTACATTTTGTTTGATTTTCACGTAACTTTCTTCCATTACGACGCTTACCCCCAGTAACTATCATGATAAAGACTGTAGAATAGACTACATTCCTTTTCAGTCCACACGCGCAAATTTATTTTCTTTAGTATTGATCATGATTCTGGTTAAGGAAAGTTCTGTCCGAGGCTGAAAATCTTGTACTCTCCTTCCCTTCTTCCAAGACTTCAGTCAACCCCTCCCCCAGCTTTGCTATAGATAAAGCATGATTTAGCTGAATATTTCTATTGGGAAAAGGTTCTGCTGTTTAACTTGTTGTCCATGTTACAGTACCATGTTCAGCTGTACAATCAGCAATGGGCCAACCAACACATGATGTATTATCCACCGTCGGTCTACCAGATGTCTTCCCAGGATCACTTGGGGCCGCACCCCGCGGTTTCAGTCGCACAGCCTGGTAACCCTGGGGCACCACAGGTTATTTACCAGCACCAACAAATGCAGGTGAATTAGTCAGTAAAGCAAGTTTGTTCAATTTTCTCTCGCATTTAAAACATGCTGACAAGGTTCTCTAACAACTGGTAATAATATTTTGTACCTGTGTCTGTCTTTTAAATCTGCAGGGATACCACTCCCCTCAAATTCAACCAGTGATGCAAGAGGGCACAAGTTTTTCAGACCGTAATTCCTTGGACAGAAGTAGTCCCGGGCAATCTCAACAACAGCAAACTCAACAACAACAACAACAACCGCAGCAACAACAAGCTCTGCACCAGGGTTCGTTCATACCCGCGCAGCATCATCACTCAACCTGGCGAGCGGCTCAGACGATGACTCGGTATGGCCAGGGGAAGCACATGCACATGGGTGGATATAACTCGCCGCTGCAAAACCAGCAGAACCCTCGCGGGCCCATGCAACAGGGAGCTGGCAACACGAAGTATCACAAACCCAAGAAACATCAGAAGCATCGCAACGATCAGTATACGTACAGCGGAGCGCAGTCACAGCATGTGCAGAATCAAGGCCAACCTATGCATTGTGCGCATGCGTATCAACCGGCTGCGCAGCCAACTGGCTCATCTTCCAATACCTTCTTCATGCCAGGCAACGATCATGCAGTTGGAAAGGGGTCTGGAGACTATTTTCATGGCAGTCAACAATTCGGGAACTATCACGGCAACGTCTCTTCGAGCATGACTCAAGCGCCCCATTCCGCTAGCAACACGCGGGCGCAGCAATATTCTTAAAGCGGAACTGGATTGAAAGTGTCGATTGTAGTCCAATGTCTCGGACAAAGATTGTCTTGTGATGGTGGCTGAAAAACTAACGGAATGGATTTGATTTGTAATTTAAGTGTCTTGGACAGTGAGGAGCTGGAGAAGGAAAAAAGCGACAACGACCTTGAGTTGTGATATGGCTCTCCTTTCGCCGCAATGTAGCAGCAATGTTGGGTAATCCCTATCATTGCAATGCGCCCAAATGTCGTTGTGTTAATTGTTATGCCCAACACTGCTGTTACGTGTGCCCAATATGACTACTATGTTGGCGTAGTGTGCGCACATTTTGAAAAAAATTGGTTTCGTATTGGGCAAACTATTGTGGTGATAGGGCTCCCTTACTGTCTGAGACACTTCGTGTTGTTCATGTTTTGTTTCGCGTGATGTTTATTGTAGTAGTGGTGTTTTGTTTTAGGGACTAGCCAAATTAAAAAAGTGACGTGACAGAATGCCTTATCCTTCATTTTTGTTTGAGGATTATGTACACGCAACAGTCGATGCCGAGTAAATGTGATTTATGGTTCTTTATGAACTCCTCCCTATAAGTACCGAAATCGATATATACTTTTATTATATCTCTCAGTAAATGAGTGTAGTACGCGCGCTCATGATGATTGGTCAATTTGACGGGCCGTATTTTACTGTACGGCCCTCTTAATTTAAAAGCTTGTTTGACTTGATCTGCGCCCCCTCTACATGAACCCAAAGATTCAACAAATATCTCAGTAACCTCGTTTTTATGGCCCGGGTACACTTTTAACTTGAGCCATAACATTGAGCGGGAAAAATTCAGACCGCAACTGACAGTACGGACCTCAAAATCGGTTAACAAGAGGTATATATATATCGAGTTGAACTACTTGAAATCACAAGAACGATACGCGGTATGACATGATCGTCCAAAATTAGACGATATTCGTTCTTTTGGTCATGTGTTTTACTTGCAGTGTGAAAGTATTTCAAGATCTCGCGAAGGCTTAAAACATCCAAATTACATTGTGTTAACCTTGTTTCTTAAAGCTCGTTTTGTTTCGTGCTAGCGGAATAAATTTTTCATCTGCCTTCATATCGTGATCCCGGCAGAATTTTTTTTAAATGATCCACACAATACACCAAGGGACAGAATAGATAAACAATTTCACCTTTGGGTGGGGTGGGCGGACGCCTGCAGGTCACGATGAATACTCAGCTGTGCACGCAAGACCGGAATATACGCAATCTCTTGTTACCCGCGAGCGACTTAGAGCATGGAAAGCTATTATTAAGCAGAATACCCCCGATTTGCAAACATATGTTGCCAATGGGTAACTTTCTCGCGCACGTATTTCACGTTGTCAGAGAAAAAAGAAGACCAATTACCGTCAGATAAAAAATGCATTGAAAAAATGTTTGATTGAGCTTCGTAAATAAAAAGCAAAATTTATCATGCCGGCCAGTTATAGGGAAGGCTGATATCCCAGGGAGTAAGAGAAAACTAACTTAAAATTACATAATACTTGAATGGAAACTGCTTGAAGGGGTAAATCGCCACTAGGTTTAACGTATTTCATCTGAGTGGATGAACGAATTTAGAGCTTACCAGCTGTGTTTTTCTATTGGAGAGCACTTCGGAGAAAAAGTGTCGTACTTAATTCCCGGACAATATACTATCGAGACGCAGTTGAGAACTACAAAATACCCGCGTGCTACCTCGCTCTGATGGTGAGGTCAGTACCTCTCACTCTGCCGTTGATTTGTGCCAATTTCCTTCTCAAAAGTGTTTGGAAGGAGAGTCGTGTGAAAGCGTCTTTCGCCGGGCGTCTGAAACATGCATTTTTTATCATTTCGGCGCGTCTAATATGCAACAAATGTTATTGAATTTGAACAAAAAAGAAAGAAACTACCTTGAAGAAACTAATTGAAGTAGCGGTAAATGAAAGAAGTGTTAATTTATTTTTTTTAACCGGAAAACTAACTATGATAAATTTAGTTTCTTTGGAGTAGTTTTTATAGTTTTTTTTTTTTTTTTTTTTTAAGTTTTTTCAGTTTATATCATTTCTAAAATAGTGCAACCTCAGCAACCTTAGGAAACGGTACAAAAACAAGTTAAGCTCGATGTAGTGTTGTCGCCGCGGGCACTTGGCGTTTAATGGGTCAGAACGTTGCGTAAACTTTATCAGACAAAATTTTTTGTCATATCTAGTTGAATTTGGTTAAAAAAATGGGAAATTGCTTCTTGTTTTTGCCCATTTCATTAAGCTAAACTTGTTTTAGAGTTTGCAAAAGAAAAATATGAACGTGTTGGTAAATATTCATTATTAAACTGGATTAGACAAATGATGATCTGTAGGCGCCTAACACTCTTCTTGATTTTTTCGGCTATTGTGAGGTTTAATTAAACTTTGGAAGGGAATATTACAAAATTAAAAACAGCATTCACCGACACGAAATGAAATTCGCCCGAAAGTAATCGGCTTTGTATGAAAGTAATGGAAGTTTCCGATGTGGTGTCTGTAGGACATGCGCGAACTTTTGCAAACCGTGAGTTTAGCGGATGAATGGAAATGTCGGTGCCGATCTGAATGGATATGTAGATGAAAATAAATGTATCCTGAAGGTCCAATTAGCAAACGGCTCACTGAATATTTTCCCTGAGCTTTTACGTAAAACGTGCGTGAGAGGAGCCTAACCTCTTTCTTTCAGTGACTCGAAGAATATTTAAAAAACCTACACCCGATTAAATTGCCTTCTTTTGCGAACTTCTCACTTGACAAAAACCCAGCTGGGAGGATTGTTCGGAAGACTTAAGAGTAACAAGGATATGCGCCGACAAGTTCTTCGTTATCATCGTTTTCCTCGACCCCAGAGGAAAAACTGCTGTTAAAATGAATTCTCTCGCAGACTACTAGCTGGTTCAATTCTACATGTTACGTAAATAAGTCTTTTTGCCAACATAAACATTTGCTAACGAACCTAATCTATTGCTAAAAGCGTTCTTTAAATATTTAACTCTTTCGCACAGCCAGTACATTCTTCATAATACTAAGCTTAACCATTATTTAGCAGATAAATTTTACTTCGAAATTCAATGCAACGAGACGGAAAATAGTTACAATGTTTTGCAATTGGTCCACTCACGTACAAGAATATTTTGCATGTACGTTTCCTAAAAGCGATTCAATGTTTTCTCGATGAACAGTTGGAGAGTTGAAAAGGGCGAAGCAGATGTTTTCTTTTTTATGACCGTAGAAAACATTCGCAGCGTGTATCTCTAAAATTCAAACTGTAAAGATGATTTTTATACCCTACTAGGTTTTTCAGTTGAGTCACGTAAGCAAGTCCTCCATGTCGTCTAAGCTTTTTTTGCCTTTTCTATGAAACCTAGGCCAGGTTTTTTTTTAATTGCATGTCATGATCAGTCTCCATGTCAAAAGATTACATCTAAATCACTGTTCAGAATATCTTGATTTCATGAGTACAGTTCCGCTTTTTTATTTTATATGAGGGAGATATGTTTTTCTCTGTAAAGTGGTGCTTTGTGGAGATCTCGTCAGCGAGGACTCCATTTGGTTACCATTTTGATCTTTTGCCCACTTGAAAGATTCGCCGCTAGATATGAATGGAAGCTTCAGGGTTTTACTATGATCATCGTCACTCATTTCTAAGTACCTTGTTGCAGTTCTGTTAGTCTCATCCCTCGTCTTTGGCCCACTTCCTATGGTCATGCGATGCAATTCCTTTTTGCTGGTATCTGATCTGGAATAAAATTCGGGCATGCTCGAACTTCTTCTCGTGGGACGGCTACCATCGTGCAACCTTTGATTTAGTAATTCCGTCGTTTCATCCGCGTGTAAATCCGATTTCCACTCATTCCCTGTCCTGGCACCTCGAGAATTGCCTCGTTTAGATTTTAAAGACTGGGTTTCCTTCGATTTCGCTGCGACCAAACCTTTCCAAAGTCCTCCGTTGCTTCCTTCGATGAACGGTAAGGATGCACTTCTCTTGCGCTGACGTTTTTGCTTTCCGTAATTTCTCGATTCGATTGGAGAGAAATCGTCGCTGCTTTCATCCTCCCTTTGTGTGCCATCATTATCGAAATTATCGAAAGCACTGTCCCCTGTTTTCGCCATCAAAAGCGATAATAATAAATTATCGTTAACGGCTAATTTTTCTTGATACTCTGTCAGATTGGAAGTGAAATATATACACCGACCGATAAACTCCTAAAACTGACGCCTGATAGATCTAAAGCTTAATTTTGTTAACTCGGGGCGACATTGCGACTCACATATTTATAGACTTCCGTTAAAGTTATTATTTCAATACAGTGCGTAAGCTGACGGGAAAACTTAAATTTCCTCAATGCAGTGAAGTGGACGATGTCTCCATACTGTGGACCGTTATGACCCGGCGAGCAGTTTACAAATGACCACTCGTATGAAGTGTTGCTGTCCGTTTGAAGGCACAATGATTTACTGCCAGGAAGGAGGAAGTATGGTTCTGTAAGTTTAAGGTAAAAAAAAAAATTAACGAGATAAAACAATTGTTTGTAACTAGTCTCTTGTCATTCTCCTGTAAAGAAAATATTGACGCGCCGTTATTGGCTGCATGAAAGGTCATAATCGATCTTAGCGATCTGGTTTGAAACGCAGCGGCAGGTGGTCAAGATAAACATTAGCGGTGCTTTTCGCTACTTTGGTACACATTTCAAAATTATTCCATTTTTAATTAACTGTTTTGCCAAGTCTGAAAGCGTAAAAACAGCAGTTTGTCCCTGATACTAGGCCTTGCGGTTTGAAGCGCGCAGGTGTCTACCATCTCAACGAATCGTGGGAAATAATTTACCTGAGGATAATAACTAAATAATAAAAATGATAATGAAAATAATTATAATTATAATTAGAGTGCTTTGCGTGCATCTTTTCCAACAAATCATCCTGACATACGTTAATTATACTAATTGATTGTAATCGATTTTACAGTAGTTATTCAGTTCTACCACCGGATAAATCGATCACTTCAAGGCGACTTACAAAAGGTTCTTTTGTTCCGCAACTGATCGGACGTGATGAAGAAAGATGGTGCATTTTGAGCTCGATCGTATAATGTAGAAGGATGTTATTCATCTGTTACTCGTGTAGGGCAGAGTTAATATATATCATGTTTCTGATTAAAATAAATGTCTGAATTTGAAACATTACTCCTATTTGTCAAGTTACTCAGGTGTACAGAATTCATTCAATATTTTCTATCCGCCATCTTTTCCTTTCTAAAACTGGTCTTATGTCTAACTCATCTCCAGTCTTCCTCACACCAAATGTGGTTCAGGAGAACGATAGGGAGAAATGGGCGATGGAAGGGGGGGGGGGGAAAAGAAACTATTGACCCTCTGGCTCTCGCTCTAAGGTCCTCCAAGGCCCAAGGGAGAAAGACGTTGTTCCGCAGGAGATTTGCGTCAGTTGTAAAGATGTCAAAGCGGCTAAAATAGTGCACTTTCAGAATTATCTCGACCGGTTTTACTTCTCCACAGTTCGGCATCCATAGAAACTAACAGGCAGATAATCGGGCGAGAAGAAAATAAGATGGTGGTTCGGTTGGACCCAAAAACTTTGGCCAAGAGTTTTCATCTCGCCTTTTCAGTACACCCTCAACCATATGAACAGAGTGGGCGCGGGCGTCATTATCCATCCGCTGGGATCGGGTGAGGAGCACGACTCGCGCGACACGCATCGCGCGTGTCTCGATCTTATGCATTTGGCATAGCCTCCTTGTCAGCGGATTCTCCCTAGGTATCAGTCTCTTGGGTCAAAATGGCGATCAACTTTCCTTGAAACCCAGCTGTTTGCTAATTATTTTGTTTCGTTTTATAATTGTCGATGACCAAAATGGCCAAATATTTCAAAGAAACACTAGGAAAGCTGAGAGAGACAGCACTCGAGTCACTAGAAAGAAATGAAGCCAAAAATAGAACGGATGATGGATCTGAAAGCACGTATCAGTTCGTCTCGGCGCTTGTGATCAACCTTTCGATATCCTTAGTTGCGCTCGGCCTTTTCTCGTTCCTACGGCCGAGACTCAAGCAGATTTACTCTCCACGTCAGCTGCTTTTGGATGTGATGTTTCCTCTGGGTAAACTGCCTCATTCGTTTTTCGCATGGGTAATTCCTGCCTTTATGGCCAATGACGATGATGTGTTCTATTATGCAGGGATCGACGCGCTTGTTTATATCCGATTTATGCGCTTGTGCGTCAAAATATCCCTTGTGATCATGCCGTACGGTATTGCAGTCCTTCTTCCGTTGAATTATTTCGGTGGAGAAGGCCTGCACGGCTTGGAAAGGGTTGCTTTATCGAACATAAAACATGAGTCGTCCAAAGTCTGGGCACATGTAGTACCGGCCTGGTTCTACACCTTTATTATTTGCTATCTGCTGTACGAGGAATGGAAAATGTACATCATATATCGCCAGGAATATCTTAGCTGCGGAAAAGGCCATCAATATGCAGTGTTAGTCAGGGATCTACCAGTAAAGGTAATCAAAAGGTATCTCCCGCGCCTGCTGATTGTTTGTCATCTACTCTCTCTTCACAATATCAATACATTATCCAGTAAACAATGGATGAAAAAGGCAAAATTATCAAATATAAGACTTTTCCTCTAGTTAATCATAATCCATTTACTAATTATCACAGAAATGAGTCACTGCTAATGGGAAAAAAATATGTACAGAAGATCAGGCTAAAAGCTAAGAACAGAGAATAAGCCTCAGATTGAGGTACTTACCACCCCAGTGACAGATTCAGGGGAAGGGGGTTCCAGAAGGTCCGGACACCTCCCACCAGACCTGTGCGTGTTGTCTGACACCAAACGATTTTTAACGACTGGACTACATTTTAGTTTCATTTAAAATTTACATCAAAGTGTTTACCTTTTTTATGCTCCAGAGTAGAATATAGAAAAAGGTATTTTATGAAGGTAAACTCCCCTCCCCCCATCCTCTCCACCACAAATTAATTTCTGGATCCACCCCTGCACCCCTGCAACTATGAATCCTAAGATCTCTACATTACATAATTGAGGCCCTGTTAGGGGGGGTATAGATGTCGCCCGTCTGAATTTCAAACTTTGTCATGTCACCATTTCAGAAGGTTCTGATGTCACTGTCGGAATTTCATCAATGTCGTGCTCAAAGTCGCATTTTCATTTCCCTGATGTCGCTGTTTCAACGCCATGTCGCCTGTCGGAATTTACCCTATCAGGGCCTCATAATTTTGCTTAATGGCTGGTTCACATTTCTCACAATATCGGATCATTTCAATTGATTTTATCAACTGAGTTGATAATGTTAGTTGGCCTCCCTACACAGTTTCTGAAGTTGATGTTTGAAGCATTAGCCCTTCGTCAGACTTATTTATTGATCTCTTTTACTCCTTACAGTTTCAAAATGAACAAAGCATGAAAAGCTATCTTGAAGAACTTTTTCCTGACCAGGTGTGGCTAGTTAATTGTTTTTTTTATTTTATCATCAGAATTGCAAAATTTTTTGTGCACTAATATATACATCTCATTAGATGTTTTTTTGAGTAGTATTGCAGAGTATTTTTTACAAGTTGTGCTGTATTTTGATGAGCCCATAGGGCGAGTCAAAATACAAATAACAAGTAAAAATACTCAGCAATATGACACACCAAAATGTCTAATAAGTTATTTATTATTCAAATTGTTATTTTGGTGCAGGTGAATTTTGCAGATATCTATTTATAGGGAGTATGTGACAGAAGTATGTGAAGTGGAACACAATTGATGCATTGTCATGTTGCCGTTTCTATTTTCTTCAGTGAATCATGAAATTTCATTGTTGTCTACCTGCTTTTCTTTGTTCAATTTATTTAATAAACCTGGATCAATATTCACCATTCTGACTCTTCATCAACAGACAAATTATTCAAATTGTCCACCATTTTTTTTTTGTAACTTCAATCCAATTTGTTGCTTGTGGAATGCAGGAGAGCTTGTCTAACTGGTTCTCTAGGGTACAAAATTAATACCGTGTGATACATGTGCTCGTCTTGGACATTATTTGTACTCTAGGAAGTGTAGTTGGATAATAAGTAGGATGAACCCTTTGCACGTGAATATCAGTATGTATATTCTCCATACTGTTCTCTAAAASATTTCCTAAGGTGCTGACAAGGAGAATTTGGTTATCCTTGTGACCTTAATATGTGATTTGGGTTGATGTTGTAAGGTGAAATTATATGCGAGTCCCTCCAAGGAATTAAAGGGTGAAGACATAAATTAGTGGAATAATGAACAGATATCATACAATGTGTTTTTGGGAATTAAGATTTGCTGTGAACATAGTAGTAAGAGGCTCCATCTAAAGAAATTGGTGGCTTTTGCTATAATCAAAACAAGTGGATGATTATTAACCTTTATTACACGACTCGGGCAGTCAGAGGGCCAATAACTAAAATCAACCAATCAAAATGTTCTATTGCCAATCAATATTCTCTCAGTATTGGACTGGGCACTGTCCCGAATGGTCCCGAATGGTCCCGAATGACACCGCACTTGTGTCCCTTTGAACTTCAGTCGTATAATAAATCTCTTATTAACTAAGCTTGCTCGGGCCTGTACTGGAAGAATATCAGCCCTCCGTCTTTCTTGTACGGACCTCGCTGTGCTCAGTCCGTACTGTCAAGACCTTGGGCCGATATTCTCCCAGGACAGCCCTCGCACTTGGTTAATAAGATATATATATACTAAATTTGATTTTGTGATTAGATTGAGGATGTAATAATGATTGAAGATCTGAAGAAATGGCAGGCATTAATAGAAAAACATGACAGTCTCGTGTGGAAACTTGAACTCTCTAAAGTAAGTAACCACCAGGATCATGTGTTGGTGGATGTAGTGGTCCACACATGTCAGGCAATATAAGGCCAAAAGTCAACTGAAATGGTGTCAAGTAAGTTAGGTGATAGCTGACTGATGATTGACAAACATGTGAGTAATAGTCAGCCAATCTCTTAATCAAGGTGTCAGGTTTAGTTTTGAGACATTAGCTTGTAAGATGACTTTTTGTGGAGCAGTGGTGGCTCTCCTTGGGAGAGCACTTCGTAGTGATGATGGATACCATAGATGAAAAAAGTTTTCATTCATTACCAGCTGAGTTTTGGTCAAGGATCAGTTCACTACTGACCTGCTATCGGCTAAGTACTGACCAACCCTTTGAACATGTTAAATGTTTTAGGCCAAGTGGCCTAAAACTGCCAGAGCCTATCCTTGCTTTCTGAGTGACTAGAAGTGTATCTACCCTACCTTAATGGGATGCTGATCCATTGTAGGTCAGCCCCAGCACTATGTCAGGCTCCCCAGACAGCTCACCAACATCCCGAATGGAGGGAGGTCTTGTTAGAATGAAAATGAATAAAGGCTGATAGTTTCTAAAGAAACTGGGGCTGCATCGGTGGGGGTAACGAAATAATTTGGATATATCAACAAAGTTGAAATGGTAAATTGGCCACCGTAACGATTACAAAAGCTGATGTTTTGAGCATTAGCCCTTCGTCGGAGCGAATAGAGGAATTGTGGGTTGTGTGTGCTTTTAAAGGCAGAAAGTGGAGCTACGTTATTGGTGGGAACATGGCAATGAGAAAAACACAAATAAATTAGTGGAATGAAAAGCGTTCGTTGATCCCTGTGGGATTTAGACTGCTGGTTTGAAAGATGAGCTTTTGTTCAAAAGAGTTTTATGTCTTTCTCTGCTACCTAAGTGTAAGGAAAGACCACAGATTGCCATATGTTGCTTAGAATGATTAGGTAAATTAATTTAAAAGTGTCTAGCGACTGGTTTCGATGTGTCTTTGTCATTCTTTTCCACGTCGCGAAGGTGTTCTCAGAATTGGTCACCTAGTCTTCTGCCTGTTTTGCGGATGTATATCTTTTTGTAATAAGCAGGGTTCGTACGCGTCTTGAAAACCTTGAAAACCCTTGAATTTCAGGGGGCCGATTTCAAGGCCTTGAAAGTACTTCAATTTCATTTTGGGTCCTTGAAAGTCCTTGATTTTTTATTGAACAATATTGAAATATATCTGCTTTTGTTTTTGGTAAACCCAAAACATAGATGTTAACAGAAACATTTTTCTTGGTTTTGAGGTAAAATTGTCATTACAAAAAGTCCTTGAAATTCCTAAGTAGGGTCCTGGAAAGTCCTTGAAAAGTCCTTGAATCTTTGGCCTGAAAAAGTGTATGAACCCTGAATAAGTGCAAGTTATGCAATAGATTACATTGGCGGAAGTGCACGTGAAGTGTTCGGTGATCTTAATGGATCGTTTGGGTCCTGATATTTTATCAGTGTTGTGAATGAAAGGACACGTTTTGCATCGTGCACGAGTGCATTTAAAAGTGCCTGGTTGGTTATCAGTCTGAAAAGAACTTCTGACCAAAAATTGCCTATGTTTTTGTAGTGTTTGAATGAAATGAGTGGAGGCTGTGAAAAGATAGTGCTTGTCTCTGATCGTTTTGAAGTAGTACTTCACGTGCACCTCCGCCAATGTAATCTATTGCATAACTTGCACTTATTGCAAAAAGATATACATCGGCGAAATAGGCAGAAGACTAGGTGACCGATTCCAAGAACACCTTCGCGACGTGGAAAAGAATGACAAGGACACATCGAAACCAGTCGCTAGACACTTTAATTTACCTAATCATTCTAAGCAATATATGGCAATCTGTGGTCTTTCCTTACACTTAGGTAGCATGGAAAGTCGTAAAACTCTTGAACAAAAGCTCATCTTTCAAACCGGCAGTCTAAATCTCACAGGGATCAACGAAAACATTTCATTCCACTAATTTATTCATGTTTTTCTCGTTGCCATGTTCCCACCAATAACGTAGCTCCATTTTCTGCCTTTAAAAGCACACACAACCCACAATTCCTCTGTTTGCTCCGATGAAGGGCTAACACTCGAAACGTCAGCTTTTGTAATCATTACGGTGGCTAATTTTCTATTTCAACTTTGTTGATTTATCCAAATTATTTTGTTAGAATAAAGTTACCTTGCTGAAAAAATGACACAATGACCTAGCTAGGTCTCAAATCCATTATCCAGTGTGATAATCCTTTTGCCATTGTATTTCCTACCTTACTAATTTATTTCCTACCTGATTAATTTAGCAACCAAATTAATAACCTGAACATGCCCACTTCCAGATGCATCCGCAGTGTCAGGTTGTTCCATGATTTTGCACTGTTGATTGTCTTCTTTGCCTTTTAGGCAATTTACAACTTGACTGGACAAAGACCGACTCATCGTTCGCATCCCTGTGGTACTGAGTTTGACTCCATCACCCAGCATGAGAGGGACTTGACAGTAAGTTTTTCATGACTAATGTAAGGGCATATACAGTAGAATTAGATTTCTTCACCCCCTCCACCCCCCTCCCACCCCTTGACTGGAAAATCAGGACTTGCTTGGGGGTGGGGTTGGGGGGAAAGGCCAAGGAATGACTTAAGGAGGTTATTGTTGAATTTTAAGACATGGAAACTGACCTTCAAGCAAACAACAGTTTTGTTTAATCTGACCTGCCCAATGTTGCTGTGATCCTCCAAGATCCAACAGCCTGCACTTAAGCCTTTGAAAATTTTATATTCAAATCAAACTGAAATCAATGGATGCAGAATTATTTCACAGATCGTTCATTCTATCAGTCACTCATCCATTTATTTATTTATTTTTTATTTACTTATTTACTTATTTTTTTTTTATTAAAATTAAAGATTAAGCAACTATCAAATTGAATGTGACTCTGCCCTTTCTCCTAGAAATTGCAGAGCAAACTCGAGGATGAAATGAACCAGGAGCACACCACACTTCCATGTGCTTTCATAATCTTCCGAAGTTTGCGCGTGGCAACAACAGCGGTGCAAGTAGCATGGGACAACTATTCCTTAAACATGAACATAACTCCAGCACCTCAGATTACAGATGTCATCTGGGGTAACCTTGGTGTTGGCCTTTGGCGAAGGTATACCTAAGTATATAATCTACAGCCAGGATTTGTATGAAATTTTCAAAGAATTTTAATTATGACCAAAGCACTCAGAGTTTTTCAGCTAATCAGTGTTTATCAAGGAATGTCTAAAACTCAAGTATATATTTTCTCTGTCGTGTAAGCAATAGGCTGCACATTCTATGGGTTTACTAGCATTATAAGCCTTGTGGAACTGATATTGGGAGTACCAGAAAGTTTTGTAAATTGCAAACCCCAAAGAGGTGTGATTTACAAACTTTTTTTAATGTTCTCCAAACATCTCAAGTGGGTTATTTTGCCAGTAAACCAATTGAAAGTACAGCCTATTGCTTCAATAGATAATTGTAGAATGTTTCAATTTTCATCGGGTTTACCAGTGCAATAAATGATAGCTTTTGGACCAACCAGGGTGCTTTTAGTATCTCTTTTACTCTATAAATATACATAACTTACAGTTCATTTTCTCACAAGAGAATTCCAGACACATAATGGGTCATTTTACAGTTGTGTACTTAGTTGCCAAGCCTTTGATTCAGAGTGAGGCTGAAATGACCTTGTTGTGATAGAGACCTGTATCTAGTTAGCATCAGACGATAACAAAATGATTTACAGTTGAAAAGCAGCAACATGTGTATCATAACAAGGTCGCCCCTAGCCTCGCTCCTGTTCAAAGCAATCAAGCACACAACTGTAAAATCGACTATTCTGCAGTCACTAATAAAAACTTGATGAGATTAGCCAGAACATCACGACCCTTGTTTCTAAAGACTTACTAGTCATACAGTGCTATTCTCCCCCACAAGAAAAAAATTATGAAGATGAGAGTATGACCATCGTAAGGAATTCTGAAATTTTCCTACTAGCTCAAATGCTTCAGAACTTTCCACGACGTGAATACCAGTGGCTGCTACTAACTTTAGTACGCTTTAACTTGGATATATCAACAAAGTTGAAGTTGTAAATTGGCCACCATAATGATTACAAAAGCTGACGTTTCGAGCGTTAGCCCTTCATCATTTGCTCCGACGAAAGGCTAACACTTTTGTAATCGTTACAGTGGCCAAGTTACCACTTCAACTTTGTTGATATATCCAAGTTATTTTGTTACTCCCACCGACACAGCCCCAAACAGTTTCTTTCGAAACTATCAGCCTTTATTCATTTAGTATGCTTTAGTTGATCATTGATAAAGAACTGTCCTTGAGTGATGATACAAATGGTTTAAAATTACGTGGTTACAAACAGTTCTTCCATTTTTCATGCCTTTCCAATAGTTTTCTTATGTGCCCTATTTCCCAACAGGAAATTTTCCACAGGTCTAGTTTATGCTGCCATATTTGCATTGGTGTTTTTCTGGTCATTGCCAGTTGGATTTATCTCAAGTTTAATTTCCCTAGACAATATTGCAAAAGTAGCTCCGTGGCTGGAGGCAGGTGAGTCATTTAACAGTACACATCCTAACTACGGTATACTTGTTCTCTTTACTGTCCTTTACATTTTCTACCATGTATAATAACAACAAGGAGAATTTGTTTAGCAATCTTAAGCTTCTTTGCTTGGTTATCATTTCCTACTGTCTCAAATAGGACACTAGTGTTTTAAATCAGACATTCATGTCTAAAGTAAGACACTAGGGTCTAAAATCGGATACTTGTGTCCAAAATTAGGTACTAGTGTTTAAAATTGAACACTACTAAAATTGGACACAAGTTAAATCAGACATCAGTGTCCAAATCAGGATGCTAGTGGTTTCTAAAATCTGACAGTAGTGTCTTGGATTAAACTCTATCGTCCAAATCAGACACAAGTGTGTCAAACTGGACTCTAGATTCTAAAATTGGACATAAGTGTCTATAAAGGGACACTAATGTCCACAATTAATATCCAAAGTCAGACATTAGTCTCTAAAATCAGACACAAGTGTCCGAAGTCAGACACAACTGTCTGAAATTGGATGCTAGTGTCTTAAATAGGACACTAGTGTATAAAATTAAACACTATTTCTAAAATTGGACAGTACAGTAAAAAATGGGTCACTTATGTCTTAATGAAACTGTCTAAGATCAGATGCTGGTATCAAAATTGGATATACTTATTTAATCATACTGTTCAAGGGAAATGTGGATAAATATGATTGAACATTTTTGTCTAGCAATAGGAAATGCTGCAGTATTGTGTTCAGAAATGTGTGAAAATAAATCTGTTTGCATGAAACAATTTAATATTTTTTTGAAGTTAGCCCATATCTTTGTGCTATTTTAACATTCAAGTAAAATTTTATACTTGAGGTTTACTTATTTGTAATTTTTTTTGTTGGATTGATATCTTTATTTTGTAGTTTTGAGCTATAGTAACTTTGTGAGGGGACTCATTGAAGGAGTTCTATCCAGTTTAACACTGTGGGTCTTCTTCGCTGTGTTGCCATTAGTAAGTAGAGTCAATTTAATTTATTAGTTTATCAATGAATTCGGTAAATTTTGATGTTTTATGTGTGCTTATACCTAATTACTGCTTAAACAACTCAGTTAATGAATTATGACACTAAGTTGAAATGGAGCCTTGGTAGGGAAACAGCAGTCAGACCTCTAGGCACATTCAAAGATTGTAATGACCAAGAGGTGGCCCCTCGCGGTAGTTTAAGAATTTCAAAAGTAAATTTTCTTAAAGGAGTTTATAAGCAATCAAATTGGCTAGTGAGTCATGGTGTGTCATTGCACGGTATTTAAACTTTTTTAGTAAGCTCAAAACAAACTACGTCTGTGCTGGAATTGTTTGAAAAGTCTCAAGATTTTTCCCCATTATTTTGTTTCCTTTTGCAGAATTCTTTACACATTAACAATTACCTTTGTGGGATTTATTGGACAGCAGTTGTCTTTTTCCCTAAAAATTTTAGATAGCTGGCAAAAACTGTCCCATTTGTGCCTGCCTTTTGTCTGCTGTATAGACCACTTTCATAAATGGCTGCCTGATTAATATTCTTTTGTTTAAATTTAAATTAGCCTTTCTGGCCTCGTTCTCCAGTACAAAATTCTAAAGAATACATTATCTCAAGCAAGGCCAGAAAGGCTAATTTAAATTTAAACAAAAGAATATTAATCCGGCAGCCATTTTTGAAAGTGGTCAATTGGGTAAAATTACTTAAATCAAAGTGGCCCACCAGCAGCTTTAATAAAGACTAAGAGACAATTATGATAGTATTGGTTCTTGTACATGGCCGGTTAACCCCCAACCCAACCCCCCCTTCCCACAAGGGTTCTTGTACATGGCCAATTGACCCCCTCCACCCCCACCTTCCCTCAAGCTATTCATCCAATGCCCTTGACAATTTCTCCCCTTCCCTCAAGGGTTCTTGTACATGGCCAATTGACCCCCTCCCCCCTCCTTCCCTCAAGCTATTCATCCAATGCCCTTGACAATTTCTCCCCTTCCCCCAAGGGTTCTTGTACATGGCCAATTGACCCCCTCCCCCCTCCTTCCCTCAAGCTATTCATCCAATGCCCTTGACAATTTCTC